GCCGATTATTTGGGGCCCCCCCGGTATGCAAAAACGGTGCAGTCAAAGCCTGCTGTCGCAATGCATGAGTGTTCGTGGAACAATGCCACCCACCTACAGGTCAAATGCCGTGTAGACTAACTTGCGACTAACCAGACCACGTTTGGCATCGGTCAGTCATTGAGTTGTGTTATCGATTTCAATGTTACGACCAGCATGACAACTCATGACTTCCGATGACATGTTTCCATTCTCGCGAGTTTTACATGGACGCATGTTGGCAAGGACGACATTACCACTTAAACAAACTCTGAACTCTTAACCAAACCCAGCAACCCAGCTTGGGGAGTTGATGCCCAGTGCATTTGCCAATTGCAGCAATGGAGAAATACCGGCAATTTGCCGATGGAGGCCTCGCGGGTATTTGTAGTAAATTCGGTTAATTCCATGCAGGGGCCAAGTTTTTTGCAGCTTTCATGTGTTGGCCAGGTACCGGTGTCAATCCGTTTGTGCCAGCGTGGTCGCACCACAAGGTGCAAAGCGAGCTACATGTTTGTTGAAAACGCAGCATGTTGGTAACCGCGACATATGCATGTCGCACAAACGTGCTCAGTCCGGGTTGGTCATGCAGTGCGCCAAGCTGGCTTCCTTCTTAGTTGGACAACTTGAATTGGACGATTAAAGTTCGAGATCCTCTCAAGTTCGGCGTTGGCTTCGTGATGGCTGAGGTCCTTCTGCCACTGGCATTGCTTCGTCTGTGCATGGTCGCCACGGCATTTCTATGGCTGCAAGCTTAGACCGAGACCCGAAGCCTCCGTTTTGATTTTTGTGGATTCGGAGTGCTTTTCGCGGAGGCTAGTACTGGCGGAGCTGCTGTGTTGGCCACTGGGCTTCCTTCCCATTGTCAGGTAGGGAGCTAAGATCGGCGGCTCACTTTGAGACCTATGGCACGTTCAGGTTTCGAGTTTCGATCACCAAGCCCCCAAGCATTAAATTTACAACTAAATTTATGCAAACTGAAGAAGGTCGTCAGGCCAGCACTTACTTCTGTATGGGGAATTGGTGCGTGTGCGGCAGCTCTTCGCCTTATGTCCAGAACACTCATGTGTGTGGCGGGATCTGTTTTGCGCAGGCGTCCGCTGCATTGGCTGCTGTCCTACGCTGGCTGTAGTCTGGCCTTACTGGGCCTGGGTGAGGAACCTACGTGCATGTCTCAACCCCTTGTGGCTCATGACAGCATGCACCGCATTCAAGGCTTCTGGTTCACAGCCGGAGGCCCGACCTTCTGTTCTGACCGCTTTGTTGCATCCTGAGCAGTTTCCTTTGCAACGAAATAGCCTGACCAGGTCACGTGCTAGCAGATCATAGACGGTTGAAGCTTGCACCACCGAAGGTGCACTGGCTGTTCCGTTGGCAGCTGAAACTATTAAGTTGTTAAGTCTATAGCTGCAGTCAAGATTTTCGCAAGTCTGATGTGAAGCTTACCTTGCCTCTCTGCCGTCAGGTGAACAGTTCCTCTTGTTATGATGCGCGGCGAGGGTGCTTGGTGCTTTCGAATGCGTCCGCGGCCCGTACATACCCATTGTGATCGTTTTGTGATGTCCCGCTTCTGAATCATTCTGACGTTTCGTTTTGCCTGAGGCAAGGACTGACTGACGTGCTCTACCTGGGTATGAGGTTCAAGCTATGCCCTTGTCGCTTCAGGTCTTTCGATGATTTGTTGTATCAGAGCAGGCTGTGTCCGGTCTTTGTCTTTCCTGCAGCTGATGGATCGTTTGGGCCTTGTCAGGCGACGTTGGCAAAACGTTGCATCGCATGTGTGAGGGCAAATCGACATTCGTGGTCTTGAGGCCTGTGCCCTACTACTCGGTGCTCGGGGCGCTTCGCAGCAGGGGTCTCGTGCACTGCTCTCCGGAAGAAGTGCGTGAGTGCAGACACTGCTAGGGGCTGGTGCTCGTCGGGCTTCAGCGTCCGTGGATACGCCGCCACTCGCAGCATCAAGTGGGCGAAATGCATGTTAAGGAGCATGGAGCGTAATGTCATCGAGACTTAGGCAGTCTTTGAAAGACATTGCCGAAGCAGCCCGCACAGGCCGCAAGCTGCTTCTGCCATGTCAAAGTTACAACCTCGGTAACCTCGCTATTGTCCCTTCAGCCAGGCTGGCGGGGTCCGGTTGTTGTGTTCCCTGAGGCACTCTGAGATTTCTCATTCAGCCATCTTTTCCGCACGTTCTTGGCGCTTCGGGCTGAGGGAGCACGAACCAATGGGACGGCAGTGCTTGCGCGACGCCCCAGCCAAATGCGAATGCTGAGATGTGATGCGCGTCGGCGACGTCCACTGCCGGGGTACGTTGCAGGCCTGGAAGAAAAGCACTTTCCAGGGCTTGGAAAGCTTTGAGAAGCCGGGTCCTGAGCAACGTGAGTAGGTGCTGAGCACCTGTTTGGACAAACTTTCAACTCGGCACTGTACTGATGTCTTCGACCCGCTCTTGCGAATCTAAGACCCGTGGGCACTGCGCTGGTGACCCTGGAATACAACAAAGCAGGGGCGTACACTCCCCATCATACCATTGGAACCATGTTCAAGACGGCGCCTCAGAGAGGTAAGCTTTCTTTGCAGTGTCCATGCGATGTGGTTGCCCGCCTTGCTTAGGCATATCCTGTTCTTGTGCATCCAGCCATTTCACTCGGTGTAGTCCCTGGAAGTAGCGTGTAGCATGTCAGTCAGCCAGTGTATGTTGTGAAGGAATGACTTCAACTCGAGTGCAAAGGTCAAGAGTACCTGGCTCCCGGCTAGTGATGTGGCACGGATCCACAGCTGCAGCATTTCCGGGGCACGCTGCACTCGGAATGAGCTTTCGAGGCAACTGCTGTGAAGGGCAAGCCTGTGCCGGAGTCGATGGTTCTCCTCAGGTCAGCGCCAAACTTAGCCAAAGCTGCGAGAAGCTGGGCCTGAAAAGACTCTGTCTTCTCTGAGGTCCTCACAAGGATGATTGCAGGTGTCAGCTCACTCAGTTTCTGTGTGCTCCCTGCTTCACGATTTGCAGCACCTTGCCACGAGGCCGTCGAAGTGGATGTGTATGCTGAGAAGCATCAAGAGTTCATGGCGCGCAGTGCCCAGCACGGAGACGTGTCTATGAGCGGCTTCATGTGCAGGATTGGGTACGGTCGTCTCAGGTTTTGGGAAGCTTCGCAGAAGAAAGGCTACACCAAAGCAACGAAGAAGCTCCAACCTGAGGATGGGCAAGTCAGGATCAGTGTGCAGTGGAGCTGAACTTAGGTCATGAGCCGCCTCAGGCAGCTTTCATGAAGACAGCCCGCATGAGCGCGGAGCAGAAATGCGTGGAGACTCTGGCATTGTGCTGGAGTGATGTGCAGCACTTCGAGACAAACGGCGATGATGTGTGTTTTATTTTAGATGTTTTGGTTTCGCACATGGAACACATGGACATAAGCCTGGATCATCCTCTTTTTAGCTTGTGCACACGGTGTACGCTTAGCTGACCGCTGACCCCATTTACACAAGAAGGGAGGGGGGCGGATTCCCAATGCGGCAAGACCCAGCTTCATGACTACGAGAGCAATGCCAAGCCCTCATTGCTGAATGGAGCTCGCGCGATTGCGAAATGCACTTGGCGAAGGCGCCATGACCCCTCAGTACGTGTCTTTTTTGTGCTTGCAGCTGTTGGTAAAGGCAGGACATTGGAATTGGAAATCGACAAGCTGAGGGCACTCCTGGGCGTCCTCGAGGCATCAGGAGGTGGAATGGCTACGTGTGCCGTGTGCTGAAAAAACTCGCAGGCCGATGTTCGCATCTTGCGGCAGGTGAAGCATGAGAAGGACGGAGTGAGCACAGCAGCTTGCCACAGTTATGCACAGCCATGCCAAATCCCGGAGTGAGGGTGAACTGAGTGACTGCACGGATGGCGAGTTCATCCTTCGCAGTCCAGAGCAGTGGGCTCAGAGGTTGCTGCACATTGACGTGTTGCCCAAAAGGGCTGACGGAGCTGCATACTGTGGCCTTTTGATGAGAATGTTGTGGGGTTTGAGTAACTATCCGTCACACGCAAAACTGGGCACACATAGAGGTAGCACATTGCACATGTTGTGAAACCCCCGGTTCCCAGTCTTAGTCTCGGCACGTGCTGATGGGACGGACGTGGATGGACTGATGGGTGGGGCACTGGGGACTGCTTGGGCAGATGCATGCTGATCGGGGAACAGCTGCTATTTTCGTCTCTCACTTCATTGGACAAGCTTAGCTTACAGCCTGTGCCAGTGCTCGAACGGACAGCCGGCGTGCACTTGTTTTTTCGTTTTCAGAATCGACAGTAGAGTTGAGTTGTTGGCCTTCTGCGAAAGGGTCTGCTGCAACCAGGCGTCGGAAGCGGATGCTATCGCAAGCGGTGAAGTCCTCTCATGCCCTTGTCCTACCTGAGACAGAGGCAGAACACAGGGATGGTTGCAAACCCAACGTGTTAAGGAAAGCTGGTAAAGAAGCCACTGCCTTCTTACAACATGCAGGTGCAGAGCCCGCCGCCGCCGATTCTTGCTCAGGAGCCTCCTGGAAGTAGTCCACACCCGTCCGTGCCACAAGGCAGGATAGCCTAGGCCTTGGACCTAGGTGATCTCGAGACTGCGCAGGTCTGCGCTCAGTGAAAAGCGCAGTCGAGCTTCGTCAGCTACAAGGCTGGGCTCAAGAAGACTCCCGGGAGGAAATTCGGTGACTCTGCGCGAGGTGGGAGGAAGTCCCTGAGTCCGATCGCACCAGCGTGTGCGCCAGGCCCAGGCAAAGCAACTAGGGAGCGTGTGGCGCTGGAGCATCACATTCATTCGCTTATAAGGCTCAGAATGTGACAGGCCAAGGCTCGCAGCCCTCACATCGCGGGATGCCAGGCCAGAAGAGTTGCCCAATCTCCAAGACGGACCCTCCAGGACCCCATTCCTCAGGAAGCAAGTCGGGCAGCCTAGGGCCGCGGACGCCAGGCCACGTGTGCTGGTTTGAGACTGCCGCACACCCCACCATTGATGCTTGTCGAGTTGCCTTTGCTTTGCTCAACTGCTAATACTGCTACAGTCCCAATAACTCGGCCTTCCTTGCGCATACTCTCTCAGTGTTCACTTGCAAGGTCCAGATCCCAGGAACAGTTTTGCCGTACCTCGATGGACGACAGTTCGCATGTAGGCACGGCCTGGAACGGCTCACGGGCTTCGGATGCCCTCTCGCTGCCAGGCCCGGACCTGGTGATTTGCAAGATTTCGCCTCCTCTCGTCTTCTTTCTGTCACATCTCGTGCTTACCCAACTTCCTCGTCCGCTTCAGAATGCATGATGCCAGCCCAAGGGTTCAGTCTTCCAATGTTGTCCAAACCTTTAGTTCAGTCTTCCAATGTTATCCTAGGTCACCCCGGCTCCTGACCGCAATTGGGGGTGAAGCGATTTAGGGTTTAGGGTTTCCATCCCATAAATGTCGCCTGCAGCAATGAGATTAGGTTTCCATCACCCCCCTCGTTCAGCCTTCGGGTCACTCTACATCAGGCTTTCCTGCTTGTGGGTCCATCATATACGGGTTTGGCCAGCCATCCACCCCTCGCTCCGTTTTGGTTGCCTTTGAGGTGTACGTGTATTGCATCATAAAGTTTAGGGTCTAGCAGCTGAAAGATTTCGCTTGTTACTCAGAGCACATGTGCATTTCTTCGATGCTCGAGGATTTCACAGCCCCTGTTGATTTTGCATCTGCATCTTGGTATTGGCGTTTGCTTCCGAAAGGTTGAGGCCAGGCCCGGATCCGTCACTGACTTCGGGGTCGATGCAATGGTAGACAACGCCACGCCGGTTTCAGGTCGACATGTCCCAACGGTCGCCCATTTTCGATGTGCTCGCGTTCGATACTGTGGCAGCTATTCTGCCTTCACATGTCGCAGGAAGGTGCCCCCCGTTGGCCCTCCTTCCGCAGATCAGGAGACATAGCAGACTCGTCGGAACTTCATTGCCGACGCTTTGTTTCAGATCTTGCATGAAGAAGCCGAACGACATGAAGAAGACTCAGACCAGAGCTCCAGCTTTCGGGCGACTCTGTGGAGCGAGATCGTGCTTTTCGCCTTCATTTGGCCGAGTACATTGAGATCACCACCCGAGAAATAACCGAACTCAACGACAAAGTTCAGCGCCTTGAAAACCAGCTGCAGCCTTGAATGCAGCAACGCCACGCCAGTTTTGATAAAAAAGAGCCTACCATGCACTTGCATCCGGTCAAGCGCCATGTGATTTCATTTTGTTGCCTGCATCCGTTTCTTTTCGGAGGGAACACTCATCATCATGCCGAGTCGAAGCCGTTCTCCTATCCCGGTGGCATGGAAATGGACGTGGAAGACTGAGGGCCAGCATTGGTGGTGGGAGTGGTTTGAGGTTAGCCACCAGTGGTTGGAGTCCACAAGGCGCCATCAGCCACCATTTGCGCTTTTGACACCAGCTGACTCGCCAACACCCAGCGCAAGAAAGAGAGCATGATCCAGAACCCCGTAAGGAACGGGCTCCCTTGAATTCCGGGGCACATAACGACATGTGCGTTGCTTCTCCAAGAAAACATGCCATGCAACATCAGAGCTCCCACTGGGTTTACTGCCGATCAGCAGCCGAAAGAGAAAGTTCATTTGCAGATGTATCCCAACAGCCCCTCTAAGCGGCACGTGTGTGTACACGCCTGAAGATGGCGAGTTGGATGACACCTCATTTTGCAGCAAGGGGGGCAGTGAGCGTTCCATCATTCACAGTGCATTCCTGCATGGTTGCTGCAATCTGATTTCGCATCATGCAGTCCAGGGTTCATCACATCAATTCTTACCAAGCCTGAGTGTGTGGGGGCTTGTCTGCGCAAACCGTTTTTTGGGTCTTCTGCAAAGCCTGGATGCTGTTGTCTCGGGTTAGGCAATGTGCTGCTCGATTTATTGGCTTGCGATCCAGCTGGAGTGTCTCTGTTGTTTCGCAGCGAAGACCTCGCGGACTACTGCTACATTTTGTTCTTTTCCTGAAATTAACCCCACTATCCTGACCTTCGGTGTCCATGACGTGCACTCTGGTTCATTCAGGTCTAGGGCTGCCTCCAACCTTAGGTTAGTGGTAAGGCATGTGGTCTGCGAGCGATCCTTGTGTTTTGAAGTGAGGGTGAGGCCTTGGTAATGCAACGCAACTGGTTGTGGTGACATCGTGTCAGAGGGAAGTCATGCTTGATTTCGTGGTAGTTCTTTGGGTTATGGTAACATATCAATCCCATTCAATCCCTCTGCTCATGGCTGGTTCACGCAGTCTGTTTTCGATCTGGTCTTGCTTTAGAACACAGAGACCGATTCACAGCGACCGATAACCTAAGTGACAGTTTGAGGATCATGGCTTTTTTGACTTTGCGAGGCCTGCCTCCCAAGACGGTGTGGGAACCAGAGCGCCCCGGCAACTCAGGCGGGTTCGGAAAAGTCACGGTGATATCGACAAAGTTCGCCTGAAATCACACCTGCTTTTTTGTAGCAAATGACAAATCTGATTACAGTTTCCAGATGACAGAGCATGAACTTTTAGGCTGCATGCTGGTCCGGGTCACGGCGTAAGCGCGGACAGGGGACGGCAGCTTAAAGCAGAACGTTTCGGAGCCGTTTGAAGCTTGCGCCCGTATACACTGGATTTTCCATCGGCGAGTCGATGCCACAGCCCTCATGCTGCCCATGTTCACGTCGCACGGAGAGTGCTGATTGACAAAATGATAAGAAAAGATGTAGAATCTTCAGCTTGCAGCTGAGGCACTCGCAGTGCGCAGCCCGTACTGTTCCACACTTCCCTTTCGATGAGTTCTCTCGAGATGTTAACTCGACGGCCCCTCCTCCCTTGATTCTTTTTGCGTGCACTTATGACTGTCGATTCTGTCGTCTGCTTTCGGGGACTCTTCTTCGAGTCGGGCGCTTGCTGGCCGTAGTCCATGGGCATTGCTTGCCGCCAGGCCAAGCCGACCGATCTCAGCTCTCCTCCGCTGGCTCTTCCTTGGACCCGACTCTTGTTGCAAATCGAGAGTTCCAGCTTGTTTGTTCATTTTGTTGGTTAGCTTGCTGCATTCCATGTGGGCGACCAATAGGCGGAGTAGGTCGGGCCACGACGCAGGTGTCGGGATTCCCGGTGGATTTGAATTAGATTGAATTAGGGAATGTTCAGTAGGATCTACAGTGGATTTGGTTTTGGTGAATACTGCGTGTGGAGCCTTTGGCAGCGCCTTTATTGGGGTACGGCAATCCTCTGCTATTCAAACATCATCTTTTCCCCTCTTCGACCCGCAGTTTTCATCAGTCCACTTTTTTGACCCAGGGCCATTCCGAATCGTGGCCACTGTTGGTACTGTGGACAGTGCGGTGCCCGGCGCTCCTTCCCCACCCTCTCTCGGTCGGCCGGTGAGAACTGCCATGCAAAAGCTTTCTCGAACCATTGCAGAGGCCCTGGCTTGACAAGGAGCCTGCGCAAGGTTCTGGAACTCGCGCTGAGGCTGCGCTTGTCAGCGTCTCCGTGCGTAGGCTCTGGCAATCGGGGTTCCGCACCTCTCGAGGCCAGGGGACGGAAGTGAGTCCTGTTATGTCCTGAAGGCCGGGGCCGGGCCTTCGTTGTTCCAGCGACTCGAAGCTGCTGGCATCGGGTGCGCGCCACAGTGGGGTCGGAGACTTCGAAGTGAAGACGGTATTCACGTATTCCTCTCGCATCGCCAAGGCCCTGGCAAATAGCCGAGCTAAAAAGAAGCGCGGGACTTGAGTTCTTCACACTGTGCAATACGTTCTAGGGTCGCCTTGGGGTGTCCAATGAAGCTCAGGTGAAGCGAGGTTGGCGGAGATAGCTGCTGAAGCGCCTAACAAAAGAACAAGATAAGGATGGCGGAATGTCATGCACTGATCGCAGTAACGCGAGTCTCGGCGGCTTTGCATATTGGCTTACTTTCGTTGGAAGATGTTGTAATTATGCATGCACCATGTCTCGTGGGGTATGTGAGATCATGGACTCAATGAGGAGTGGTCATGAAGTGGAGCGCAGCGGAAGCGAGAACAACCAACGCTGCAAGAAGCCCACGAAGACGACACGATTTCCACGTGTGACTAGGCGGCCCCAGTTGGAAAGATTACCGAAGCACCTGTTTATTGAAGTTGTTGCCCAAGGCAAGGAGAGCCGAGGAAAGGGACAAGCCTGGCCGGCGACGTGGAGGCCAGGCGGTTTCTTCTCCTATTTCTCCTGCAACTGTGGCATCTTTGAAATAGAGGAGAAGGCCAGGGCAACAGATCTTATGGCCGGTATCGCGCGCAACTGTGGCTATGACGCTCTTCAGCTGTGAGCTCAGATTCTGAGAGCGGTGATGCAAGGCATGTAGCTTTTTCTGCTCAAGCTTGCCTGGTGAATGTTTTACCACTGTTTAGGCGTCCATGTCATTGCGGCTCCCGACGGTACTTACATACATCCTCAGGCATCTAGTGCGTGTACGTTGCTGAAAGCAAGGTCAACATGTCCTCGCTGACGAGGGTCGCTTCTACCACCTTGAGCTCACAGTCTGACTGAGGCTTGCAGAGCTCGGGTACTTGTCCATGATGCCCATGCTGGCAAGACCTGTCCTCTTGGCCGAGCAGGTTTGGCAAAAGCCGAAGCATGCTGACCGGATGCAGAGCATCTGGAACAGACGTCATGACCGACGAAGTGCCGAATAAACCCTCTGCGTGAGGGCAGCAGCTCGGGACTATGCACTATCTTGAAGAGTCTTGATTCGCCGCAAAATTCTGCTGCGCGATCCGCTTCGGCAGCTTCGCATTTGCCGTCCTTTTGATGTTCAGAACTTCGGGAGCCACGATGCGAAGTCGCAGGCCAACACGGCCCGAGTCAAGAACAATGTGTAGGCTGCTGCGGGGTTCCATGTGTCCGGGTCTTTGGAGAGATGCTCAGCTGGCATGATTACTGTCTAGGGATTGCAAGAAGTGGCAAGAGAGCAACCACTGAGTGAAGCGTTGCAGTTCTGGAATGCCGTAACTTCCAGTGCCAGGTCTGACGATGACAAGGCCTGTCAAGCTCGCCCCCGGCCCAACTCAGAGTCATCTCCTCAGCGGCCGCAGGCCAAAAACACGGGAAGCTCAAAAGGTCATGTCATGGGGCTTCGCGTGAGCGTAAGGCCAAGGCCCCCAAGTTCTGGGATCCGTCCCGCGCGTGGGTGCGGGCCCAGGCGCTGTGTTTTCTCCCACATCTTGTCGTACTTGACCGGCATAAGGACTCGATCGCGTCCCAGAGTTCGCAAGCCTGCAGCTTGTGGAGTCAGACCTGCTTTCGCAGAACTCACCGGGCTCGCCTGGCGCACCGAGGATCTCGCGACCTGATCCGACGGCCAGGCACATCCGACTGCATGTCCGACCAGGCAACCCAGCCATGAGACGACAGGCATGCCGATGTTAAAACGGACGCCAAGCGCGAGGACTCAGAGGAGCGTGCCCTGAGGCGCGTTCTTACACGGCAGAGGGGCGTTCGCCGGGGTCTCGCGACAACAGAAGCATTGCTGAACGTCACTACCGCCGGAAACAGATGGAAACAGAAGTCCCAAGAACATGACATTCTCATATCCGTTGCAAGCATTTTCGCGGTGCAGAATAGTGTACATTCGGCTTCACTGACAGGCGTTGCGAGTTGAACAGGGGTCAGAACGGAGATTTGTTGCGAGCGAAATTGCGGCAACGGTGACACTCAAGCGCGTTTCCGAAGTGTGTCATGCAGACACTTCGGCACGGATCTTGCATGGAAGCCCAACACATGTCACCTGGCAACGAGATCTCCAGGCAGAACGACCACTGCTCACCTGTGACACCACTTGCGGAGATCTTCAAATGCTCTTTGCTCTCGGTCACCCCGGTCGATGCAGGATGCAAGGAAGCCCAAGCCCAGTTCCTGGACTTTCGGTCAGGGTGCCCCGTGACCAAGCAAATTCAACGGTTCGAGATGGTGGTCGGTGACTGGGTTTATTTGGCTTTGTTACTGTGGTTTGTTTGACGACTCTTCTGGTCGAAGGGGCAGCCGCCCTGGGCTTCGCCAGCTCGTTGCCGGCTGGTGAGGGAGGGTTAGAACAAGTCGGGAGGCCGTCGAGAACGGGTCGCCTGGTCTTCATCTTTCAAGATAAGTTTCCTTAGCATTGGCATTTTCCGGCACACTGCTTTAGGCCGCTGTACCAGACTTCCGTGGCTCAGGAGGATCTTTGCCCAGAAGCCCATGGTGGTTGAGGACGGGCGTACAGGGACAATCTTGGCATCATAGAATCATAGATGTGTAGTGGTTGCACATGGTGAGCTGCGAAACTTCAGGCACGCTTTCTGGAAGAAGTTGCTCGATACACTCGTGAGTGTGAGAAGCAAGTGTCTGCAGCTTCCTCAGTTCCGAATCGCATCTTCAAAGACCGTGACCTCAGCTGTGAGTTGAGGTCACCGGGCCTGCCCCTGGTGGCTATGCCATCGCAGACCCTTCGCCCGAGCAAGAGATGGCAGGTGCAGGCGCTGCTGCAAACAGAACTTGCACGACAGGCAGCCGTGTCTGTGGATGTTTGTGCAGGGACCAAGGCTTTCTGTTTTGACATTAACGGAAGAGGGGGCGAATGCGTCAGTTCAAGCAAAAACACGCAATTTGCCTTCACGACATGTCTCTTGAAGCCAGGGGAATGACGAACATATAGCAAGACAGAAAGAGCGGCAGACATTTCGACTGCAAGAACGAGGCGTATAGATGGACCGAGGGAGTCTACAGAAAAAAGCCGGGTAGTCAAAGAACAGCACAAGACATAGACTTCCAGAGTACAGCGACAAAGCGTTCAGCAATACTATCAGTCCAGCTAGCAATCGGGAGGCCATACAGACAGGGCCCAGCTGCACCAACGGACCAACCGCAAGGTTGAGTCTATTGAAGCCAAGACTGAAGGGCTCGTACAAGACTCTTGCGGTGACACAATAGTATGATTTATGCGCGGCCCGCGGCCGCGCGGCCACCCGGCCCGAGGCCCGCGGCCACGCGGCCATGCGTGACGCGGCCGCGTGGCCCGCGAATAAAGAGCAGCAACAACAACAGCATCAACAACAGCAACAACAACACCCACAACGACAACCCCGACAACCACGACAACTTCAACAACAGCAGCAACAGCAACAACAGCAACAACAACAACAACAACAACCACAACGACAACCACGACAACTACAACAACAGCAGCAACAACAACTACAACTACAACAACAACCACAACGACAACCACGACAACTACAACAACAGCAGCAACAACAGCAAACATTCCTTTGGTTGAGGGTTTCAGCATAGCGTTTTAGGGTTTGTTTTGAGGTTTGGGGTTTGTCAGTAGCAGAGCTTCTTTGCAGGCTTTTGCATCAACCAACATTTCCTTTTAGGGTTTGGGTTTTCTGACCATTGCTTTTGTTGAGGGTTGCAGCATCTCCTTTTAGGGTTTAAGGTTTGTCAATAGCAGCTTCTTGGCAGGTTTTGGGTCAAGCAAGATCTCTTTTAGGGTTTGGGGTTTGTCAATAGCAGCTTCTTCGCAGGCTTTGGGTCAAGCAGCATCTCCTTTTAGGGTTTGTGGTTGCCCAACCATTCCGTATGTTTAGGGTTTCTGCATCTCGTTTCAAGGTTTAAGGTTTGTCAATAGCAGCGTTTTTGCAGGCTTTTGCGTCAACCAACATTTCCTTTTAGGGTTTGGGTTTTCCGACCATTGCTGTTGTTGAGGGTTTCAGCATCTCTTTTTAGGGTTTAAGGTTTGTCAATAGCAGTCTCTTTGCAGGCTTTGGGTCAAGCAACATCTCTTTTGGGGTTCGGGGTTTGTCAATAGCAGCTTCTTCGCAGGCTTTGGGTCAAACCAGCATCTCCTTTTAGGGTTTGTGGTTTCCCAACCATTCCGTTTGTTTAGGGTTTCTGCATTTCGTTTCACGGTTCAAGGTTTGTCAATAGCAGCTTTTTTGCAGGCTTTTGCGTCAAACAACATTTCTTTTTAGGGTTTCGGTTTTCCAACCATTGCTTTTGTTGAGGGTTGGGTTTACGGTTTGTCAATAGCAGCTTCTTTGCAGGCTTTGGGTCAAAAGCAACATCTCTTTTGGGGTTTGGGGTTTGTCAATAGCAGCTTCTTCGCAGGCTTTGGGTCAACCAGCATCTCCTTTTAGGGTTTGTGGTTTACCAACCATTCCGTATGTGTAGGGTTTCTGCATCTCGTTTCAAGGTTTAAGGCTTGTGAATAACAGCTTCTTTGCAGGCTTTGGGTCAACCAACATTTCTTTTTAGGGTTTGGGTTTTCCAACCATTGCTTTTGTGGAGGGTTTCAGCATTTCTGTCTAGGGTTTAAGGTTTGTCAATAGCAGCTTCTTTGCAGGCTCTGGGTCAAGCAACATCTCTTTTGGGGTTCGGGGTTTGTCAATAGCAGCTTCTTCGCAGGCTTTGGGTCAACCAGCATGTCCTTTTAGGGTTTGTGGTTTCCCAACCATTCCGTTTGTTTAGGGTTTCTGTCGTTTCAAAGTTTAAGGTTTGTCAACAGCAGCTTCTTTGCAGGCTTTGGCGCCAACCAACATTGCCTTTTACGGTTTGGGCTTTTCAACCATTGCTATTGTTGAGGGTTTCTGCATCTCGTTTCAAGGTTTAAGGTTTGTCAATAGCAGCTTCCTTGCAGGCTTTGGGTCAACCAACATTTTTGTTTAGGATTTGCGTTTTCCCAACCATTTTTTTTATTTAGGGTTTCAGCATCTCATTTTAGAGTTCAAGGTTTGTAAATAGCAGCTTCTATGCAGGCTTTGGGTCAACCACTTTTTTTTTCAGGGTTTGGGGTTTCCCAACCAATTTTTTTGGTTTGGGTTTCATCAGCTCCTTTTGGGTTTAAGGTTTGTTAACAGCATCTTCTTTGCAAGCTTTGGGTCAAGCAGCATCTCTTTTCAGGGTTTGGGGTTTCCCAACCATTCCCTTTGTTTAGGGTTCCAGCATTTCCTTTTAGGGTTCGGGGTTGGTCAAGAGCCCCCCGACCGCGGCCCGTGGCAAGCTCGCGGCCCGCGGCCCTGCAGCTCAGCCGCGCCCGCGGACACCGCAACAATAACCTCTACCCCGCGGTGAAACAAGCTCTCTGCTTCGATTTGTTTGGACAACGGCTGCAGGCACTAGCAATGTCATCGATGAATTCCTGTGGCAGGGCTCAGCTTATGTTTCACTGCGTGCGCTTTGCATTCGTTGCCAACCAAATTGCTCCGAGGTACAAGTTGGAGAAAGAGGCTCGGCTGTGGCAGACTGCTGAAACACAATGAGACACTCTGCCCTGGTGCGAGTGATGCTTTAGTCATCGCCAGGAGGGTGACCAGCCTCAGCCCGAGGAGGTTTCCAGGTGCACGCAGGATACGCAGGTCTGCAATCACGAGACAAATCTGCCATGGCAGGCCTGCCACGGCCCCTGCCACGGCCCAGTTGGCACGTCTGGTGGGCCTCTCATCGCTGTCCGTCTGTACCACGGCTGTGCCCGGGAGCTGTTCAGGTTGGTGGTCTTCAGTCGGAGCTCGGAGAGGCCAATCCGAACCCGGCACCGGCGCCGCCGGCCCGTCAAGTCGTCGGGGTGCGAGGCGCAACCGCCCGTCGCGCCGTTGCAACGGGGTCTCCTTGCAATTCGACAGGAGCTGAGCGGCTCGCAGAGCAGGTGGAAGAGCTTCGGGCCAAGGCGGGGTCCTGATTCACCGCAGTACGGAGAAAGGTTGTTTTAAATTAGTGATAGCGGCGGGGGAGGATCAGTTCGACTAGTCTACATTCACAGGGGTGTAAAGCGCCGCGACTTGTGAAGACATTTGCAGCATCATTCTGTCAGATCTGCGTGACGGTGCGTGAATAAACCCTGCAGATGGCGACTGTACTCCGAGAGAACCGGAAGCTCAAGGACAGATGTCAACGCCGTTTCTCCAGTGAGCAGAACGCGATTCTTTCAACGCCGTCCACTTCGTGAGGAAACCATCGAGGTGAAAGACCAAAAGATCAGAAAGCTGTTGGATGATATTGATCGAGTCCCAAAACATGTTGCAATGTAGCCGGACATGTGATTGCACACAGTTTTCAGACCAAGGAAAGGATTCGCAAGGCGTGCAACTCAGCGCGATTCCGAAGCACTTCTTCCTGTGTGCTGGCAGAAAGCTTGCATGCGCAGGATCCTAATGTCATGCACCCAAGTATTCTGCGATTACGCAAGCGGCGGACTCAAGGGTTCGTACATGCTAAGCCAAGCGAAATGCAGCAAGGAGCTGAGAAGCTGCTTCCCGCTCTTCAGGATGGGGCTCAACACTCCTGCACTGGCAGAACTGGGCGACCGATGGGCAGGGCAGCGGGCTTGGAGAATGTTCGACATACACACCCGTACTTCCCAACATTCTCACACACACACACACACTGAAACAGCCTTCACTGCGTTTCCAGCAGCCACTTCGCCGTGACCATGGACTGTGCTTTTGGGTGATATGCCAGATATGTCTTGGGCCGGACCTCCATGGCCATGGAGGCGGAAGTGTTTGTGTTTGGACTCTCTGCAGCACCTTCTTTCTCTCGTTGAGAAGGTCGGAAGCTTCTCCTTCCGAAATGTGTTCGCAGCGCATGCAACCAACGGCAAAGGTCTTAACATGCCGATGCTGTCCTTGAATGAAAGCTCCTGATCCACTCGGCTACGTTTACGAGGTGTTCTGACTGAAGAGTCCTTCAAGACAGTCTTGAGACAGATGCTTGACTGCGAAAGTGGATTATACCTTTAAGAAGCTCTTTGTGGTATGGTTCCACCGAGGTTCGAGCCGTCCATCAAGAGCGATCAGCTGACACGACTTTGGTGCCCACGGCAGTGGCAGGACGCTCGAAGGGAGTGATCCGTGCTGTGAAAAGGTACTTCGCCGACGAGGACGGCAGTGGCAGGATCGACCTCTTCGAATTCATGAGAATGGCCGGCCTCGCCCCGAAGCCTTCCGAGGTCCGACGCCTTCCGACCGACGCTTCTCAGAACGCAATTCAGGTGTGAACTCCAATGGAGAGATGACGGATGAGTACTACGAGGTGGCGGGGAGCTTAGAAGCATTTTAGCAATGTTTCCTGCACGCCCTTCGCATGTTGGGATTAGGTGACCATGCATCTCTACCGCAAGTTCCATGCACGGGGCGGCGTCCGACGCGTCTACGCCACTGCCGACAAGAACTGGGACACTCAGACAAGCTTTATGAAGCATGGGACTAGGAGTATCTTGAGCTGCTCGACCCCCTTACGAGAGACATGGAGAGACCTAGTTCTGTTATTTGGCCTGGCCGCGGGCTGCCCCGGTGTGCGGCGCCCCTCCACGGTCCGTTTCAACCAAGCGCGATGCTTCCGGTTCAGAAACGCGCGGCAAGTTCGTCGAGGAGTCGACTAGCCTGCTTTCCAAGGGATGACTTGATTTATCGACCGACCGCTCTCTATTTGCGGGATGTTAGATCGTGAGCTGGAGGCTCAACCTTTGCAGGGCTCCAATCCAAGGCACAGGTCTGCTTCCGACACTGCCGGCGTGCTTGTTCACCGGAACCGCCTGCACGGTGAAGGGCGGAGTTCGGATCCGAGTTCGGATCCGCCACTCCCCTTAGCCGTCACGGGGAAGCTTCCCACTAGGTGCTCGGAGCGAGAAACTGGTTGACAGAAATAAAAGATAGAATCCAAGCCACGTCGTCACCGTGGGCATGCGCGGTCGGTTCGAACTTGAAGGTCTAAGCCCCTCAAAGCCGCAGTCTCGCAGAAAGAAGCTACTGACCCGTGGATCAGATACGCCCGCGTTGGTTGAGGATCAACATCTGAACTTGGCCGAGTTTCACAAGCTCGTGCAGGTCCTCCTGAAGGAGTGTTTCAGTGGAGGGGCGCTTCGAGTGATGTCTTAAGAGCTGGCCGTCTTGCAATTCCGGTTCTGCAGGATGCTCAGCTCACGAAGCGTGAGATTTCCCAGGCTGAGCCTGTGTGCAATCAGCAGAGAGACTTTCTTGCACTGTCGCAAGAGGTCTTCCAGAGGATGAATGTCTCTGGATCAGGGATGTTGAGCGTGTACGAGCACAGCTGGCATGGTTGATGTGGAAAGGCCTGATGATGCCTGATGGCCTGATACGTTCCTTTTCATTTCAGGCTGGAGGCCGCCTTGGAAGCGGTGCCTCTCTTGGCTGCCGTATCTGCTAGTCCCTGTGAGATGTGAGACATGCAGAGGCCGGAGCCAAATGCCACGTCTCAGAAGCCTGGGTGAAAGAGACCTTCCATCAGCTGGCGACGCTGATTCAGGAGCCTCTTTTTCTTCAGCAGTCTGCCGACACTTGTGACTGAGCACTCGGAGGATGCAGGCTTGAACATCAAGTCGGTTTTCCCTCCCGGGCTTGTCGTGGAAAAGGACACTTGTGTTTTTGCTTGCGAGCTGCCACGTGCCGTCGTAAAATCAGGAGTTTCGAGACGTCGCTCTACGATTTCTGACCCAGCTTCGTCCTTCGCAGCTGGACGGGCTCTCTGAAACCGGTTGGGAGAAATAGTTTGCGATGCGCATTGAGGAACATGCAGGCAATGGCCGGTGGCATGTCAAACTTGACATGAGTGTTCGGTGTTCTTTCTGCACTTATGCCACCCTGCCACCCTCATGGTACTTCCGTCAGAGCCACCACCCAGAGAGGCTCTCGATCCACGATTTCTCGTTTTAGCACGGCTCAATTGTGGAACACGCGGCTGACTCGTACTTCGAGGTCCGGAAGATAATCCTCGCAGTCCCAAAAACATCAGCAAGCGGCTGCCCGCTCTAGTGGCATCGTGCGATGACCCGCGACCCTCACCCTTGAAATGCTGGCCGTGGGTGTTGCAATGTGGACTCGAGAGTTGCAGGATCCATGCACCTGGACGAGGAACGAAAGCGTTACATGGCAAGCCCATGCAAGCTCTGCAAGCAGTACCAAGCATGAAGAGAGCCGTCTCTCGTCCTGAAACCAAGGAGCCCCTGACCCTGAGCCTGCAACCTCGGCAGGACCGACTCTGGAAGTACTTGCAGGCGACGTGTGCCGATGACGCCGTTCAAGTCAGGCTTGTGCAAGCTGTCAATGGTCTTTTTGAGTGCAAGTTCTTCTCCCAGGCATGCTGGTGGCGACCGAGATCGTTTGCCATCTGACAGTGTCGTAGCGGTCTGCAGCTTAGGAGTGCAACCGAATGAGATTCCGCCGCAGGATGCACTCGGCATTTGTGCAAGCTTTCATAGGTTTTCAGGTCCATCCTCGTGCAACTGCTTTGGAGCCATTTTGGGGAGCAGAAGCTGTATCATGCTGTGTCTGAGTCCATTGCTCCAAGATTGCCTGGGTCACTGACCCTGCCAGTTTCAGTCAGGTTGTTTTCGGGCCCACGCTGACAAGCAGTCCGAACGAGCTGTCATCTCCCGGGCTTCAAGGCAACCCGAACTTGCACTGTGCATCCCGGAGACGGCAGCCATGATGCTTGCCGTTTTGAGGGTCGACGCTGTTGCAACTGTCGGCCGTGGTTGTTGTCGATTCTATCGGGTGTTACGGCGGCTCTTGCAAGGGATGAGTGGCTCAATCAGCCATCGGTCACATGAGACGCGTTCGTTTGGGATCGTTTTGGTTTGGGATCGACCAGGATGTGTGGGCGTGGCATTTCGGGTTTAGCATGTTGGATTCCGGGCTCATCACAACTTGCTGCTGGATTTAAGGCTTTGGCATTTTCAGCGTGGTACTTCAGATTCCAGGGTCGGGCTTGTGAGATGCAGGCTCTAAACAATTAGAGTTGTGGATCCCGGTTCTGATGCTCTGGGGCTCTAGAACTATCTGCTAGAAGCTTGCGGCTCGCAAGTGTCATGTCAGCGCAGATGTCTGCCAAAATCGCGCACCTAGACTTGTTCTGAGGGACCTCTCCGCTCTCGCTATTCTCTCTGTACCTTCAGCCTCTCCTGTCGCTCAGATTGCGACTGTCGGCCGCATCATCGGCACTTGATCTGGCCCTCCCGTTGCATTGGAGCATTTGGAGCGTGTAGGCCTGTCAAGCCTCGGCTCCGAGCCTCTCCAGAAAGCATCTTTGCGGGCACTGAAACCCGTGAGCGAGAATTTAAAGCTGATCGTGCCCAGATTAAAGGCCAGACGGAGCTGACGCATCCGAACTCTAGTGGTTTGTTGGAGAACTTTTGAACCCTTGCTATCTCTTGTCAAATCGATCTTAGAAAGCTGAAGCCCAAGGACCACTGTAGGAGGCTGTGGTGGCCTCCTGTCACATCCTGCTTGCCCTTGGACGGACTGGCTGAAGGTCTGGCCGTCTCGCACCGGAAGTGATGCGGGCCTCCAAGTCCGAAGCATCTTCCGTAGGTTTGTTGGGTTGGAGCTCAATGTGCGACGAGCTTGCTGTGCGGCTCCTTGGCCCGAAACCATAGCCCGAAACAAAGGAGCATTCCGAGGGTCCAACAATTCCGCACTGTTCCAAGGATGCCCTCGGTTCGGGGTTCTGATGGTGGGTCCGGTGATCGAGGGCCTTCTTCGTGGTGTATTCCCCTGTGCCATCAGCATCATGCATCCTACAGGCCGTCACGATGTCAATTAGATTGCAACTGCAGGGTGCTGTCAGCGCTGGATGTTCGACTTTAGGTTCGTCATCACCTTCCAACCCGCTCCAAGCTCCGGCATCGGTGCTTGTGTCAACCATCTATTCACCACAAATGCCAACCGTACCCCGTTCGAGAATGCCATCGTGCATGCCAATTTCCCCGTGCAGGTTCCCCATGCAGGGGTCAGCTATGTCGTGTCCTATTCCGGTTTACGGCTTCGGTGCTTCCCCGCATTCAGTGAGACCGCCGCCTGCGAATCAGCATGCTTTCGGGTTGCAGCTCTGGGGCTCACCGGCACATCTGGCTTGAGATCTAATTGGTGCTCCTTGCATGTTGGGTCGGAAGCTGCTGCTCCGTGTTACACACGTTGCGGGCTTCAAAAGTCGTTGCAATGATCGCTGCTGTGCTTACCTCATTGAATTGTGGCTCATAGCCGATAACCCAAGATGCAGCTGGTTGATTTAGTGTTGTTTTTGTTTATCTTTCCTGTCGTGTTGCGACTGAGCCATCGAGCTTGCCATGATTTTCCCTTGCGTCCCCCAGCTTCCTGCTCTACTGTCCTGCTTGTGATTTAACCTTTTCGACAATGGCCGACATAACTGCTAGGATGCCTTTTAATTTGTTGTGCTCGTGTACAAATTTGAGTCTCCGAGCTTTGCTTGATGTGTTCAGTAATTTCTCAATGATACTGTATGGTATGATAACAGAAGCTTCGGCATGCAACGAGCGCACTTGACATGATGAGCAGGCGCAGGTGCTGCAGGCTACTACGGCCCTGCCGGAGGTCGGACTGCCTCTTTTGCCTCCGACGTAACAGCAGCATCCGGCAAGCTAGGAGCTGCACATGTTACGTGAAAATTGCGCGAAGGTGTTGGCCGTGAGGCAGGTTGCAATGGTGTCATTTTCGAGTTTGGGTTATCAGTGGTTTTGGCACGTTTAAGCACAGCGATGTTCGTCTGCAAAGGGCCCTTCTGGAGGTGTTAGAGCAGTTGGTGCAGCAGCTCGTCCGACGAGCCGGAGACGCTGGGCGCCCGGACCGACCTGTGCTCTGCGAGTCAAACTTCGTAAGATTTCGTAAGCGAATGCGGCATCACCGGACTTCAGCGTCCTTTTTGCCGGATAGTCTAAGGTCTCGCCGGACGTGTGCTTCGACACCTTGAGCCCCTTCATCACAGCAGAGCACTTCCAGGAAATGCTGTCAACCAGGTGATGCAGGGAGCTTTTCACGGTGTGTTCAGTCCACCGGTTTCTACCTTGGTCAGGCTGGGACTGCATTACGACCCCGTGAAGGCCAAGCAGGTGTTCAAGCTGTGCAGCCGGCGTGGCTTACTGCTTTACAGCAGGCTGAACAGGGTTTCCAGGCTTCTTGTTGAGGGCCAGGATTTCGGAAGCCACCATCGGTTCGGAGTCGGAGGTAGATGACTGAGATTGCATCTACCTGATACAGGAACGTCCTCTCGCTCTTCCACTCTCATCCGGCGTAAACCCTCGCAGCTTTGCAAAATCCTTGAGCAACTGCTCGCTGGCACGGTTTCATGGGCCTGGCAACTCTAACGATGGGGCAAGTAGCAGTAGCGTTCTTGTCTTGGTGAAGCCGGCATCTATCGATGGAGGGTCCCATGACGACAGGATCGATTCCGATCGGGACAGTAAAATCACGCGATTGGAGTTCGGGTCCCAGAGGTGTCATGCTGGCATTTGCACGATTCCCAATTTCCTCTCCTCGGATGCGCTTGTCGAATTTGATGTGACCTTTTCCCGAAGCAGGCAAGTCAAGCGCACTGTCAGGCACTTTTCAAGGAGGAAATTCTTTCGAGTGTAGGTAGGCAGGCAAACATCACTTGATGTTTCCCTTCGTCTTCCCATACTGCCTGGCCAAGCACTAATTGGTGTGGTGTGAAACGTGCCAGAGTTTCCTTGTACCTCCATGACATGCCTGAAAGAGATTCCGTTTCACAATGGAGCGAAGGATACGAGCAGCAAGTGCTGCAACTGCGGGGCATCTGGCGCCGCCTTTCTTTGTAGTCGTTGCCACAATGTGCGGTTTTGCTCGCCATCATGTCAACGAAAAGCCTGGAAGGGACATCGCGAGCACTGTGCAGAGAAGGGGCTTGATGAATGGGTCATTGTGCTACACACGGATGCTCTGCCTGGCAACGATGCTGGCACTGTGACTGCCGGTGCCGAGGTTGCAAAGAAAGCCTGCAGAGACAATGACTTTGGAGGAATGGTGGCCTGGAGTCGTGTTTTCTTTCTTCGAAGAGAGCCTGTTGCGAAACTTGTAGCAGCAGCGCATCATGCCCAGGGCACACATCTTTGGCTTCCAGTGTGTTCATTGCTAGAGATGGACAAGGCGACGCCGAAGCCTTTGCCAACTGCTTTGCCTGAAGTGGTCGTGGAAGGCGCAAAGCCGGTGGAGAAATTCGCGAGCCTGTCAGTGGCAGACATGGACGAGAACTTCCACAATAGCACGCCAGTCGTCCTCACTGATGCGCAGGACTCGTGGCCGGCACGTCGGAAGTGGACTTTCGAGTGGCTTGCAGAACAGTATGGGGACGAAGTGATGCCTTGCAGCGATCTGGCGCCATTCTTTCGCCATTGCGACCGTGGCAACATCCGTACGGTGCAGGCCCCTCTTCGGGAATTTGTGCGGTATGTTCAAGGTCGTCCCAACATCTTTGGACCGTTGCAAGCCCCTGACCGGGTTTTCTATGCAAACGGTTGGACACCGTTTCTCGATCACAAAGAGCTGCTTTCGGATGTATCTGATCGCTTGTACTGCGTCTCGGATTCCATACCAGCTGGAGACGGCCCTGCCAAAGTCTTCAATGCAAGTTTGACAAAGATTTTCATGGGTCCAGCCGGAACGGTTTCGCGTCTTCACCACGACACGTACGCGACACACGTTTGGTTGTCTCAGATTCGTGGCAGGAAGCAGTTTATCTGCTATCCGCCCGGAGAGACTCATCTGTTGCACAGCCTGCCGGTTGACGAGGTGGATGGTCGTACATCTCTCTTTGATCCTTCAAATCCAGACTACACGCGCTTTCCGGACGCCCGCAGGGCACAAGCATACAGTGTGGTGGTTGAAGAAGGAGAAACAGTCGTTCTGCCAGCCCGCTGGTGGCACTGGGCGAAAAGTCTTACTCCTTCAATCACACTGATGAGAAACTTCGTGAACCACGCGAACATTGAAGATCATGTTGAGATTCGGAAACGGGCAGAGAAGGCAAGGAGCAGATGATGTGGCACCAGCCAGTTTTGACAAGCAGGACCTCACCTTACAGACCCATGTTCTGCAGGTGTGGCATAGTTCGTGCATTGACACCTGGCAAAAGGAGTGTGTCTCACAGTCCTTGCTGCTGCGCTGATGTCCATTGCACTCCTACGTCTTGCTCGAGGTTCCGGCTCATGTTCAAGGCCCTTGCTCCAGATTCCCACGCCTTGACAACTCGGCCGGGGAGCTCTGGGTCATTCAGAAATCGTACGATTCTGTGTCCGTATTTGTGCCTATTGTCAGGGAGTCTCTGGAGGATGACCTCGAGAAAGAAGAGCAGCACCAGGCACTGTTGATACGAGCAGAGCAAGCTGTGCATGACGCACACACAGTCTCTCTCTCTCTCTCTTTATCTGCCTGCCTCGTGATCTGAAGACTCTTGCTGCTCATCCGGGAGCCGTTGTTGTTCAAGAACTGGCAACTGGAAGTCCTGATGCAGCTGCAGAGCTTGAGCACATACATCATTCCCACCATCGACAGGCTACTTGAGATCCTTTGCCATGTATGCAGCTAGTGTCCTTGCCAAGCTCGGCTACGAGTTCAGGCTCTCATCACCTGTTTATCAATCTGTCTCATGCACGGCGGTAAGTGGGGGGCATCTGAAGGCCTGCCGCACGTGGCAAGAGCGACCTGGTGCTGAGACAGAAGGCGGATCCAGAGAAGGGTTTCGAGTGGAAGGACCTAGACTGAGCCGAGACGGGCTGGCATTGAAAGATAGTCGACTCAGAGTCAGTAGGACCAGAAGAACTACGAGGAAGTTGCTGACGCAGTTCTGCAAGGGACCCAGGGGCAGTGAAAGAGCTTAGCACGCGTCAAAGAAGAGCTCAAGTGAGAAAGATAGCAATGGATAGCAATGGTAGCAGCCAGCACGCGATGTTTAGACGACCACAGCATCAGAGTTGCAATTGCCATTGAGCTGAAGGTCCTACGTGCAGCTACAGCTGACGGCCCTTTGCGGTCTGGTTCCGCTTCCTCTTCCCCTGAATGCTAAAGAGGCGAACTCAGTAGTTTATGCGAGCAGTCATCTGAAAGATCATGCCGGTCCGATGCTGCTCCTAGTTTGTGGTTCTGCTCCCGGTGGTGCTGCTGGGGTCTGGGGTCGCAGTCTTTGCATCAACTCCAGTCTTCATGAAGGTGCGATGTTTGACTACATCTTTCGAGCAGAATCGCTAGGCTGGGCAGTGCTGGTTGCCAACCCGAATGTGAATGAGTTCAACGGCATTGCCGTCAGTGGGTCGGAAAGCCCTCATCGACATCTGCAGACTCTTTGGAATTCCTATATATCCTCTTCTTTGGCATCTTGCGTGCTGGTGGTCGCGCACTCCTATGGGGCTCCTTCCATGGTGCATCTCCTGAAGGTTGAGCCAACAGCACGCGAGCGAATCTCTGCCCTGGTCTTCACGGATGGAACGGCCTTTCCACCGGGTACCCTGCTTATGGAAAAAGTTCCAAGCGAAGACTCCGCGTTGCGACAGGAGATGCTTCGTTTTCAAGAATTGGCACCGGAGGCATTCGAGACAGCATCGCCTGCGGTCCAGGAGTGCTTGCGCTCCGTGGGACGGAACTTCAAGTCCTGCGATCTGCCACCCGGGACCCCCCTAGCAGCTGACTGCGAAGGAGTCCCGGCAGTAAGTGCCGGACACACAAGCCATCCTTCCACGACACATGCCGCAACAGAGCCTGTCTTTGCTTTTTTACAGTTGGGAGCAGAGGCAAAATCCCAGGTCTCCGCCGCAAACGACGACCTTCGGACTCTGCTGGCCGGGCAGTGATCCCACAGAAATTCGAACCACCAGCACATAGCTCGCCATCTGCGGACCTGCGGGCAAAAAGTCACAGGGTGTCGGACATGGTCCTGGCATAAATCTGTGGATCCTGCACGAAAACCTGTCAGGTGCAGAGACTCCAGAACCGAGTCCTGCTGCTGCAACGAGAGGTGCAGGAACTGCGTGGACCTTCCGACCGTGGCCACTTGGAACCCACGGTCCCCGAGAAGCAGTTTCAGCAGCTGAGCCAAGCCCACGGCAAGGCGCAGGAGAGAGAACAGAACAGTGCATCAGATTCCACACCACTATCCTTCATTCATGTTTTTTGGGATCAGAAGACCGCTGATTGCAGGTCGCCAACCACTTGCAGGCATTGCGAGCTCAGTTGCAAGCCGTCGGGGCCAAGGGTGTGTCTGACCATACGACGGGATCCGGGCCATTCCGCGCATGATATCAGGTCGGCAGCTCTCGCACTGCTGTGGTGTCCCCAGTCTGTATATGCGCCTGCAGACAGTTGCGCATGGTTACGCTGCACAGATCCCGCATGATCGTCAGTCCTTCAGGGCAGGGAGGGAGTGGAACCATGCGCCGCTCACCGTAGCAGCCATGGGGTGCACTGGAGGAAAGGCAGAGGAGCAGCCTAAAGCTTCGAGATGGCAGCTCGGCTTGTAGAAAGTTGTGGCAGATATTCTGGTAGTAATGCCAGGGGAGCGCCTTACGGACAGGCTTTATCTCAGCATGCATACAGCAGACGGGCCTTGAGAGCTTCTGTCAAAGCTTCAGTTCTGCCTGGACTTCGATAGGCAAGGTAATCTTTGCTTAGGCTGGGTTTGCGAATCCCTTAGCAACCAGAGCGAAGATGAGCCAAGCGGACTCTGTAGATGCCTTCGAGGCAAGTGTTCGAGACACTTAGCTGCTTAGCTGCTGTAGATTGATGATGCTCGCCACATCGTCGCAGATGGTCTGACCTGCAACATGTGGCCAGCATGGAGTTTGTAGTTTGTTTTCGTTACATTGCCCCACAAGACAAAGATCTCTCGTGGTGTGAGAGAGAGCACTGCCGTGAGGAAGATGCCGGCATGTCGCGCTGTGCTTCTTGTCAACATGCTCGAAGGGCAGACTTGTTCCACGCCTTGACATCCCGTGACACCGAGGTACAGCCACGTTCTGCAGCACCACTTGACGGCGCACTGGACATCTCAGAAAATGGAAGTGGAGTATCGGACTCGATACCTGCCCTTTGAAATACGAGGCAAGAGCGGCAAGAGTGCTGATTGTTGTTGTGGGCTAACTGGAGCTGATCCCCTGCTCAGGGGCTGGGGTGCTTGTCAAGGAAGACGAGCGCCACTTCCGCATTGACAACAGCAAGCTAGGAGAGAGCGCTCAGGGAGTGTGTTACCGTCTCTCCAAAGATGCCAGTGACAAAGATTTCGAACACGTCGCATTTTGGAACAGCATTGTCGCTGGAAAAGACACTGGCGATGGTTGGCTCCTATGTGACCTTGATAGTGAGAACCTGGAGCTGTTGGATCAGCTGGACCGAGAAACTCCACTGGAGACACTCAGCTCGAAGTTTTTCAAGAGTTCCATGGTGTGTTGCTCCACAAGCTCGAACATCGATGGTCGATGGATCTCCAGTGTATTCCCAGGCCAGAAGACTATTCGCGGTGCTTTGGTAAATGATGGGGCTGTCACCCGCCCCCTGACTTGGGATGGTCTGAATGCTTTCTCAGTCATTGTCGCCGGCGAAAAGCGGAGAGCTAGGCTGGTGGAAGATCGGCTGTTGTGGCACGACGGGGAGCTTTGGACCCGTGATCATCGTGACATGGACGTGGTGAAGCCAACCGAGAAATTGGGCAAGGACCTTGAGACAACCAATGCAAAATTCCAGTGTGTTTGCCAAAAAGGCCTGAAACCTGGCAGCTCGAACCAAGATGCATGGAGCCTTCTGCGGGTAGAAAATGAATTTACCCTCTACACCATTTGCGATGGTCATGGGCCACATGGCATCTTGTCGGACTAGTTTTGTTGGCAGGGGTGCTTCTTGATTGGAGACCGAGAAGGTCTTCCGTCATTTTTTTTTTTTTTTTTTTTTTNNCTGTTTTGCGATGAGGACATGATGTGGCGAATTTTGTGAAGAACAACTTGCCGAGAGTCCTCATCAAAGATCCGCGCTTCAGTGGTATCGGCAGCTTTAGCTGCATGGGTCCTGTCTTTCTTGACGCCTTCCGCCTCTGTCACATGCTGATCGACACTGCTGACTCCTGTGGCAAGCTGGATGCGCTTTGGTCCGGCACGACGGCGACAACCGTCCTGCATAACCACCAGACTGGCCAGTTGCTGCTTGCACATGCCGGGGACAGCAGTGCTGTTGTCGGAAGAAGCTGGGACGAGAAGTCTAAGTCCGAGTTAGGATAGGTGGTGTGTTCCGCCATGTTCCATATCTTCCAGCGGAGACCCTTAGCAAGTTTACAACCCCAAGGAGCATGTAAGAGTCGTGGAGGATTCTTTGCACTCCTAAAATTCAGCGAGGTGAAAGCGGCAAGGAGGTTCGTGCTCGTCAACTTACCCGGGACCACAAGCCATCTTTGTGTGACGAGCGAGACCGGATTGCGCCTTGGATTCGGTTGAGTCCCTTGTTTCCACTAGGCTGTCCGTGGATTTTCTTGGACGTCTGGGAGTTTTGCAAAGGTGGCGTGGGGCGGCAGGATTGAGTTCGACGGCTTTGCCGATTACCGTGTCTATGACAAAGATGGCTATGGTGCAGGTCTGAATATGACCAGATCCCTGGGTGATCTGAATGCGCACTGTGACAGTGGATTGATCGCAGATCCGGAACTTGGCGAATACATGGCTGCCAAGTTGCAAGTTGCAGCCAGCAGCCCAACCTGCCTCGCTGCTTGTAGTTCCAAGCTCTGTGCACAGGTTACTGCAGAAGATCAAGTCCTCCTGCTTTGCAGCGATGGAATCTGGGAGTTCGTAAGTCCACAGGACCGAGGGATGCGTGTGAGTGCAGTTAGCTGGCCTGTATTGACATCTCACGAGCTGCAGGAGGCTGTGGAGTTGGTTCTGAAGCAGAGCGACGCCGCCGCTGCTAGGGCCCTTGTTGATGAGGCACGTCGTCGTTGGTTAGAGCGCGCTGCTTGGAGTGATGGATTGCCATCCTGGAGTCGGGGGTGCCGAGGAAGGGTGATCGCTCTTTCGGATGTCTAGATTCAGATCTGTTGGTGGTTGCGCGGGCAGAGCAGCTGGTCTGTTGGTGGTGCAGGCGTTGTGTCTGAGGCCATTTCGCTCAACGTCCAACCGCCTCACCAAAAACTGGCCTCGAGTTTTTATTCGCCCAATCTTCAACCCGGCTGTCCCGCAGCCTTCCGGCATGCAAAGAGCACTGCGAATCAAGCACTCGCGATTCAAGCACCTGCGACACGAGCACGTTTGACAGCGACTCAGCACGCACGTTCCAGCACCGCCGATGGCACCAACACTCGCAATTCAAGCACGATTCAAGAAAATAGGGTTTAGGGTTTGAGGGTTGAAGGTTCAAGGTTTTTGGGCCTTTGACCCAAAGGCAACACCATGAGGTTCTAATATTCGGAGTAAAGAGCACCGGTTAGTTTTCACATGTGTCGTGCGCGAGCGCATCGCATCCTGTTACGAAGGATCTGTGCGGCGCCCCCCCAAACCGGATGCATTGTAAATTACGATACTTGGACCACTTCTGGCTTCGAAAATCCTGAAACTGCAGCATCCTGCTGAATCCTGCCGCCAAGCACAAGCACCCTGGTTGAATCCCGCCCATCTGGGCCATGGTCCGCGATCCGCCAGCACGAGGGGGACAGTACTTTGGGTAAAGCAGTTTGGCTTTGTCCGGTGTTTCTGGGGTCCCCTGGTGGTCTCCTCGTCGTTGTCGTGCGGGTCATAAAGGTCATGGTTGTCATGGCCATGGCCGTTGTGGCACTCTTTCATTGTTTGGGGGTTTAGGGTTTAGGGCTTTGGCTTTCGAGCTGTAGTGCTTTTAGGGTTTAGGGCCTTGAGGGTTGATGGGTTTTAGGGTTTCCTTGGATGTTCGCAGCACAGATCTCCAAAAATGGCTGGCAACCGCTAAGTGTCGGTGGGCCCCTCTGTGCGACTCCCCGGGGGGCCCAAATCTGTCCGGCGCGAGCATCTATTTGGTACATCCGTCCGCATTCCACCACCAAACACGGCTTTCGAAGTCAATTCCGAAATTAATTCCCGACCCCTCAATTCCGAAGCCTCGAACGAAAGCTAGGATCGGAAAACCCGTCACCATAAAGCCGGCTTCCGATGCCAACCTCCAACTCGAACTCGAATTACCTTAATTTGGCACGGTTTCTTGCTCCCGCCAGATCGAGATTGGCGGGCGAAAATGTGTGAAATCCAGAACATGAATCATGAAACGCAACACGCGGCTTCCCTCTGCTAGGCTTTTGCTCCTTGTTGACCCTTCAGCCTCCCAAGCCTCCAACCGACGAGCATAGCATGTTCAAGAGGTGCGTTTTGAAGCCGCGCTGAGTGCAAAACTTATCATGTTTCTCAAGGATGGTAAAGCCATGTATGAAATCGGATTCCAGATCCTGTGAGTGAATTAGGCTGACTACATCGACGACATCGTCGCCCTTGTCGTGTACCTGAGTGCGGGACATGATCGCCCAGCTTGTGCAGCATGTGCCAGCGGTGGAGCTTGATTTTGCCCATCCCCAACTAGAATTGGAAATGGTGGCCAAGTTTGCAGAGTTGAGGTACAGATTCCGATTGTGCAAATGATGCCGACTTCCAGTCCAAACGGCTTGCAACCACGACTTGCACACGCCGTGGACAACAGTCGAGCAAACAAACTGCTGTGGTGCCTAGCTGCACATCCAATTTGCAACCAAGAGAGTTGCTAGCGAGCTTACCTTTTTCCGTTGTCCTGCATAGATGCCCTTCTGCAGCTTGCCGGTGATGGAAGGCTGTAGATTCATGGTTTTGAAGAATTACTGGAATTTCTATTGCTACTGGCACTTGTAGTCACGATACCCTTCTGGAGCTCTGCTCCGAAACGGTAGATCCAGACGCACAGTGAAAACTGCCTACGTCCTACGCGTGATCTGTGGATTCAAGAAATGTCCCCCCATGCTTGCGTGTCACCTGCGTACCAAGGCCGCCTCCAGTAGCAACGTGCCAGGGGCCCTTAGAGCGATTGGGTTTGCCCTCTTGCACGCAGACTCCGAGGACAAGTTCCAGAGTTCACAACAGAAGAATGTCGGAGCCAGGCAGAGGCTGGACCGCTCGGATTTGTAAATGCCCCCTGTGTAAACCAAGCGGAGCCACAGACATGGCCACGCCATCGCAGCGCCAGGACTTTCTAGTCTGGATCTGGGAGACGCACATGCGGCAGCGCATGTGCGAGGCTCAGATGAAATCTGGGTCTTAGGCCGTTGCCCTTGTGTTTCTAGTGTACTGCAGATGCCAGTATGGATTCATGCAACAGCTTCAGGCGGCGGAGCTCGAACAAAAGCTGAAAGCAGAGACCGAAAGCTTTCAATCACAGCTGCAGGTGCCCACATTTGTGTAGCTAACGAAGCAGCTGTGCAGTTTTGCAATCTATCATACGGACTTGCCAGCTTGTACAAGTTTGCAGGCCCTGACAAATTCAAACGCCCTGCTTCGAAGGACCGTTCCAGATCTTATTTCGTGAGGAAGCTTCAAGTATGCCCCCTTGTTTTGACTTGGTCAGGAGACTGCGCTTGCTGGACGAAACCGCGCGCAAACGGGGTGTATCCTTGACGTCAGATGAGGCCTCTGAACTGCGGGGTGCGCACGAGTTGCATGCCTTCGGAGACTGTCTTGGAACCAGCATGTTCAAGGAGCCTGATTCGGATGAAGCTCAGACCCCGGCGAAGAAGCCAGAGGCACCCCCCATCTGCTTTGGATAGCTTCCGATGCTGAGCAATGTCAGCCTCGACGGCACCTGTTTAGGTTCTCCTCTGCGAGCAACTACTTGTGTCGGAAAGGAAGGCATCTCCTGCAGAGATCTGCAGTCCGGAGACTGCAATTTGCCGCATGTTGAGCCCACGAGAGCTTCGCTGCAGGCTGTTGAGGATCTCCCGGTGCCGACAGTGGAGGACAGCGACTGCTCGGATGTGAAATTTCCTCGCAGAATCCCACGGCTGGCCTTCCTGCGGAGGAGTTGTATGGTCACGTGCAGTTGATCCTGGCAAAGCTGCAGAAGGCTTCGTTGCGGCCAAGGCCCCCAAAGCCCAAAGCTCTTCATAGATTTGGGCCAGGCCTTGCTTAGAAATCCGGCCATGAAGAAGGGGCACGTGCAGGAGCTCGCGTCGCGTGCAATTGTTTTCTTTTCACATGGAGAAGGTAAAATGTGTGTAGGAAAAACGATTTGTCTAGGCACAGGCGTTTGATGTTGGGCAGGAGCTGCTAAAGAAGAGCGGAGATGTGGCCGCAGCCCTCGGACAGCTTGAGGGTGTGCGCATGAGACAGACACCCTGAACCCTAGCTTGACGCCAAAACGCCGTGAGACACTCGAACGCCTGTGGCACATTTTAGCGGAATTCGAGTTTTGTTTTGCTCTTGGTGTTCTCTGCCATCTTTTTGCTTATCCTTGTTTTTGCTTTCAGTCTGCAATAGCTTGGCGCAAAACAAGAACCGACAAATTGGAATTCCCCGACAGCTTGGCGCCTGAAACCCAAATGATGCCCTCCCTCCCTCCCTCCCTCCCTCCCTCCCTCCCTCCCTCGCTCGCTCGCTCGCTCGCTCGCTCGCTCGCTCGCTCTCTATGTCTCCGTCTCTCTCTGTCTGTCTCTCTCTCTCTCTCTATAATTATATTTTTTGTACTTGTATCCCTGTGCTCCCCTGCATAGGGGTGAGGAACAGAACAGCCCTGAGAGCCGGTAGTACGACAGACCTTACGGCAGCCGAAGCCTGTAGGATTGTAGCCGGTGCAGGTCCTAGGCTCGCCACTTTCACCTGACAGCCAATGGTTCCGCCACCTTGGATGATGAAACCCCCAACAAACACAGAGAGAGAGAGAGAGAGATATATATATATATATATACACACACACACAACAAGACAGCAAATACCCAAGTCATCTCAAGAGCCCCGTTCCGGCTCATCATGTCAGTTGCAGTTTTGGCTGTGGACACGGGTGTTGCGCGCATGTGTGCACTCTTACCAATCTAAAAAGCGCACATCCTTGCAGGCGCTCAGTTGTTTCCTCCTTCGCTAGTTGTCTCGTTTCTGAAATCGACGGCAAAGTTGCAGGGGCTAACATTCAGACGGACATGTATGCATGTGAAACAGTGCGAGGTACCGCGGAAGCCCTTGTGTGCAGATGCAAGGCATACAGTACACGTTGATTTCGCTTCGGTCCTTTCCAAGAGTGATATCATGTCTCAACCGAGCTGGCAACAAGTTGAGGTGATAGATGGAAGATGGAAGGTAAAGTCCATCCTCAGCTATTCAAAGAGGTGCCCGTGTTGGGAAGCTCACTCCAGAGGTGTCCAGCCGCAAGTTTAGCTGGCCTCACAGGATGGTGGTGGCCCTTTGCCAAGACCTACATGTTGGAAGCGAGGCCCACTGATGCCTTTCCGTATGGACTACGCTGCAAACAGGATGTGCCGTTTTTTGGAGCAACTTGTTTGGGTGTTCCGATAGCACGAGGTCATTGTGAAGATGAGCCAGACGCTGGAAGCAAGCCTTCAACTTGCACATGTGGACTATGCTTCTCACCTTATTTTGTAACAGTGTGGCTGTGTAACAAAATTTGCAATCCACCTGAGGTCCTTCGCATGCTCTCGAATGTGCCGATCGTTCCACAGGCCCTGCCGGCGTTGTTGTGGCCATGCATTCTTCGAGAATGGCGCAGGTCCAGTACTGCTCGAGTCCCTCGTCCTCCCTGCCCTTCCTGGTGATGGAGCTCCTGCAGGCCACAGCGGTCTGTCACCGTTTGAAGGAAGGGTGTGCTTTGGGAGGGCTCCACGCTGGATGTCCGCTTCCAGGAGACCGAGGCTTGCAAAGTGAATGCACCAAATTGTTATATATTGTTATTCAGAGCCTCCCGAGCCCAGGCAATGCTGGAGTTGGAAGCAGCAGAGATTGGACACGCACTTCTCATGGGTGGCTTTCTACAATTGTTCAAGAGAAGATGAGGGTAATTGCCGTGCGAGTGGACCTTCAGGCATGGATGCTTGCCACCAGCGTCAGGTAGGGCTGTCACGACGCTGATGGTCGATGCAGTGCATACCGATCGGACAGCGCCCGTGAGGTCTTCAATTTGGCTCTCTGTCCGGAGAATGTCTGGGCTCGTTTCCCAGGATGCTACAGCTATCTAGTTGGTGCTACAAGTACCATGTCATTTTCAAAGAAGGGAAAGACAGCAGGTTTCTTGGGTGCAAGGTTGGGCCGCCGCTTGAAGGCTCTCGAGTTCGAATTCTGGCGCGGCCCTCTGCTGCTGCTCGAATTCCTGGAGGCCGCTCGCGCTCGGATTCTGCAGGATTGGAGCATCAGCGAGACCGGTGCTGCAGTGGTGGAGAACCCGAAGTCCCGAACTGAAAGCAGACCCCATCGCATCAGAACGCTAAGAGTCTTTCAGACTCTTTCGGAAGCGTCGGATTTGCCGAGGCTTTATGCGTACATAAACATGCGAAAGACAGGCCTTCTTCGAGGCGAGGACCTGCAATCGCCAGTGCCAGCTCGCTCACAAATGCTTTCGGGTTTATCTGTAAGGCAAGAACGGTCCGACGTTGATGAGCGGCGGGCAGGAGGCCACAGACTCAGGCTCTAGTTTGTTTCGCAAGGCTCTCCACCGCACTACACCATGACTCAAAAGCGGGCATGCAGAGCTTCCGGTAACTCCCAAAGAACCGGGAACGATTGCCCCTTCAGTGCTTTTGCCTGCACAAGCACCTGTTTCCTCCTTCAAACACCTGACCGGCCTGCAGGACTTCAGGAAGCTAGCTCCTAGGACGTTTTGAGTGCAAAAGCCGTGTGACAAGATTCTCTGAGGTATCTCCTTCCGAGATAGCTGCCAAGCGGGATCGCCGCGGTCTCGAAGCTAAGCCTCCATGCCGTAACGGCAAACTCTGGCTTCCTGAAAGGCAAAGGCCTGCTTCAGAAGTTGGTCTTCAACGGCCGGAATCAAAGAAATGGCTTCCGGTGCTGGAATGGCATTAAGAGACGATGATGCACAGTCACAGGCCACGGCAGTCTGTACTACATGTGGGGAACTTAGCTCCATATTGGCATGTTCCCAGTCATGTCGAATGGACAGCTTACATACTCGTGAAGCCCGAAAGGCAGAACTATTGTCAACGGAGCATTGCTTTGAGCACAGTATGTGTTCGACTGAAATGCACTATTCCGCTCGCGGAGTCCTCACCCTCTCAGGCCTCAGTACACGCCACGATCGGATTCGAACGCTCCATGTTGCGTTGACCAGTCTCATGACTCATGACCGTTTTGTCAGGTCCATGGAACAGTTGTACCAGACGATCAGGTCGGTGTGTTGTCTGCATCGTTTGTGCACTACAGCTGACCTTTGTAGGTCCTTCGGAAGGGCGGGAAGTCCAGCAACAATTTCACAAAGTTGGTTTCAGGAGCCCATGCGACCGGAGATTGGACCTGCATCGGTTGATTTCGCAAGCTTTCGTGCTTTGCTCGTGCAACTGTTGGCTTGGGCTTAAGCTCTGTCGAATGCGGCATGGCATGCTGGGTATCCGCCTGGGAAGAGCTGCAGGCTCTGACGTTCTGCTTTCAAGCTTTCATTCCCATTCATGGCGGATTCGCGTTGATGTGGCATACCTGAAGGGCAGCTTTCGCAAAGACAAGGCGGAACACATGGGCCCATGCTGATTTGGTAGTTAGTATATGCATGAAGCTGTTTTTGAAGGAGGTGCCAGCGACACGTGAGTGCAGCATTCCCAGTCTCAGTGGCGAAGACTTCATACTTGCAACCGTGCTCTGTTCTGGTGTTATGGTCGGGTCTGCGGCATTGGCTTTCTGCAGGTTCGCCAAAAGGCCTGTCACCGCTCCGAGCGCTGTGGCAGGGTGCCTTCTCAGCAAAGACTTAACCAACATGGTTTCAAGATGTTTGAAGCATGTGAAGGCTTTTTGTCGCATTGGCCGCTGAATGTCCGCCGGCCTGCCACTAGTGAGGTTGGTGTACTTCAGATGCGGCTCCTGCCTGACTGCTTTTGCAGTCGAGTCGAGACTCCATTGCAGGACACCGTGGCCTCCCTGCGCAGCTCGTTCACAGGTGTCCAAAGACAGCAGCTTGGCAGAATCTGCTCGCAGAGTCGCTTTCCGATTGAAAAGCTGCAAGCTTGAGGAGCGCGCTGAAGCCACCGCTTCTCTCGAGGCCGTGTAGCTTGAACTGCGAACCGTGCCACCCGCTTGTCCGGAGGCTGCTTCCGACTCCAGTAGCATCCACTTTGCTACCAAGGCTCGAGAGCTGTGATGCTCCAATCTTCAGCACACAGCCTGTGCAGAGGCACGAGGAGCGCTGGTTTCTGGAACAGCTTGGTGGAGAGGCAGTTCGTTTTGCGATGTCTCTGCACAGTACAGTAAGCTTCAATAAGGATCACTTGCTTGGAAGCTTCTGTCATCGGAATTTGCCCGCAGTTGCACTTTATGGCTCGAGCGCAAGCCGGCAAGCAAGATGCAGTCTGCTAGCAAATTCGTGACACGCGAATTGGACTACAGGTTTGCGCATATTCCAAGCCCCTCAATGTTATGAACGTCCAAAGGGATGTGGCCCATTGGTGCGCATTTGGAGGTCATTGCCCTTAATTTCGATCGCTATGGGGCACCAATTACGCTGTGTTTGTGATGAGCCGTGATGCGGCTGTGCTTTGCAGTTTGCTTCGCTTTATCTGCCGCAGTCTTGCTGGTCGTGCTGAGCAGTGGTGCAGCTGGCACAGCAAAGCATCATACTGTGCTTGTCCAACAGGTCTACGTTGTTTGAATTCAAGCATTAGAATTAGAACTTAGAACGCACGAGCTTATGTAAGCTTTCCCCGCCTTCCTGACACTCGCTCTTGTCTGATTCTATCTGAGTCTGTGCTCCTAGTATTCTTCGAGGAAGCTTCTTCCTCGCTGGCAAGCCGGACAAAGTATGGCTTCATTGTCTCAGCAATATGCGTCGGCATCGTTGGAATACAGCGCCTGGTATGCTTTCACCAGTGTTTGTACAGCAGCTTTCTAAGATGTTGTGATTGTGGGCATGCCGGGCACTCAGGTACGTTGCTGCCTGGCTGCCGATGCTGGCCAACCTTCGCCACAAGCTGAATCTGCAGCGGAAGATTCAGCACATGGCTACAGGCAGAGTTCATGCTTCGGTGTTGTGAGTTGCGAACAAGAATGTCATGTGGTTGGAATCATGAAACATTTGACTTGATGTGGATTCAGCAGATTGTTGTGCAGAGGTGACAGCGAACGCAATTTGTGAATTCGACTGTTAGTATTCGATCATGTCGATTCACTGGTTCTCTCGATTGGAACAAAGGTAGCTTATCTTGTATGAAGGACTTCGAATCAAGTCAAATCACAAGCTTCGCTACCGTCGTGAAGGTAGGTGGTAAAGGTCGCTCAGGGATGCATGTGCTCTCTACGATTAGCGAGCGTTGTCTCGTCGGTAGCTTCGGGTCCTGGATGGGGTAGTCTTCAAAGCTCCGTCCGCGCTGCGATGCAGGCCTGGCCCTAGCACAAATCTTTCTTCTTTTTTCTGCGAAAGTCTGCACGCTAGCCCTGGGTGCGGGCATCCTTGCTCTACTTCTTCTGCAAGTCGCTCGGGCAATGTCCGAGATGGTGAACCTGGAGTTCCTCAGGCTATTTGGATCCATGCTGAAGCAGGAAGAGCGGTAGCTTGGCTCGTTGCCGAACTTACCGTTCTTTGTAGCCAAACCGGGCTTCATCGTTGAATGCATAACGCGAGCATGTCAGGCTAACTACGAGGCCGCCAGCTGCTGTTTATTTCTTGGTGGGCCTTTTCCTGTGCTTGGTGACCTTCCCACGCCGCCTCACACTTGTCTGCACGCTTGTTGCAACGCTCGCTGCGCCATGCTTGCAAACCTCTAGACTCTAGACCTCCGTCCTTGTCGGATCTTGGAAGTGCGTACCCAAACTTCGCCAATGTCGTCGTGAATCTTGATCAGGACCCTTTTGCAGCGATTGGCGGCACAGTCTTTGGCGGCCCACTTCTGCGGCTCAGCACCGCCCAGAAGAGCCTCGGCGGCTGCGTGACCTGTGTCTTTGCATCTCGGCCTCAACGTGGCGGAAGGCACAGAGCCTATGGAAAAGAATACATCATGCCAATATGCCTGAGACATAAACGACAAAAGCTCAGGCAGGACATCAGTTCCGCATGTACTATTATTTCCCTTAGTGTCACTACTTACTGCGTACTAATGACTGCTTACGACTTCCTATGTTCTACTTACTACTTACTGCTAACGACTTACTACATAGTGTTGCTGCTAATGCCCTGTTGCTACTACTCTTCCTGCTGCTGCGACCCCTACTACTACGACTACTACTACTAC